CCGTCCGACTGGAGAGTGGTCTTAGGCGAGCATCATCTGGTCGACAAAGAAGCGTTTGAGCAGAGCAGATGGGTATCAGAAATTTATCTCCATCCAAAATACAAGTCAATGTTCCTTGAGGGAATATTTGATACTCCACCAGACTATGACGTAGGTGAGTAAACGTCCTATAAATCCTTTCTTCTTTCTCGGATATGCTCCTGTAACCGAAGCCTTAATGTACCCATATATGGGTTGGTTTGAACGATGGAGACTGCTGGGTGTTTCTGGATACAGTCAGATCAGGTTTAATCAATTCAATGATAGACCAAGTTAAAAGGAATATAATTTACCTAATCTAACTTTAAATTTGTGAACGAAGTTCTTTGGTACGTGTTACAATTCAAATGAAAACTCTTCAGGAGAACTTTTTATAATAATAATAATTATAATAATAATAATAATAATAATAATAATAAGGATTTCTAAAGCGCCATATCCCGAGGCTCATGACGCTTTACAACTGAATATTTCAAACCGAAAGTTTTTTTAGATTAAAAAAACATTTACATCAATAATAAACTGCACAAATATATAAAAATGCAAGTTAAATTAAAATTCTTATCGCAATATTTACACTATATACATTATTCTGACAGAACTTTAATTAAGATTTCTTTGCATAAAAAAGTTTTTATTGAAGTTTTAAATTTTGAAATGTCATCATGATTACGTATGGGTTCTGGCAGTGAGTTCCAAATTGTAGGTGCTGTAAATGAGAATGATCTACAGCCAATTATTTCTTCAACTTTGCCCATGGTATTGTCAGAAGCCTCATAGAGGCAGATCTTAAGCTTCTTGATGGTCTGTAGGTTTGCAACATTTCTGTTATGTAGGAGGGTGCATGTGCTAAGCCATATAAGGCTTTAAATATTAACAGAAGTATCTTGTATTTGATACAGCTGTACATGGAAAGCCATAATATTAAAAAGCCATAATATTAAAAAGAATTTTTTGCAATGTATGAATTTTTAGTCTCTTTATATACTGGTAGTTTACTTAACTATTTGTGTGTGTTTCTCTGTTTTCTTTGTTCTTGTGTCCCTGACCTAAACATTTAAACATCTTTTCTTTTAACTGGCTGCCTGGCATTTTTAACTCTTAGGTTATTTCGGGCAGCCAGCGCCCCTATCATCGTCTGTACTATTGTTATAAATTTTTATTTCTTGTATATTATGGGGTGAAATAAAGTGTTGTTGTTGTTGTTGTTGTTGTTATGCTATCCACCATTCTCGTTCTCCTTTCCCTTCTCGCTAAGAAATGCTGTGGCGAGCATCCTAATGTAGGCGCTATTGATATGCTTTTCTGTGCATAATGGGTAAGGTAGGTTTTTTTTTTTCTTTAAGCAACAGAGATTTTCTAGAACTGTGAAAGGTTAATTGAACTCATGAGTCATCATAAATAGGTTGAATAATATTGTACGGGTAAACGTAGTCCTGAGTAGGACTGTTGTTGTTGATAGTGACTGACGTTTCAACAACGTACCTGTGCGGTAGTCATCTTCAGAGTCAAAGTGAGTCGTTTCACGTCAGTTGATGGTATTTAACTCTCGTTGTATTGACCTGATTGGTCAATTAAGTCGCGATGTTATTGTTCGTCTGTCAGTTAAGCTGTGATGATATTGGCTATGAAGACTCGTAATGTCATTGGTGCGTTTCGATCCGTGTATTGTCACAGTTAAACATTCGCTTATTTTTATTGTCAACTTTCAAATTTCAACTTCAACTTTATTTTATTTAAATTTGAAGTACATTGGGACTGGCCTGCAGTTAGCGAGTCTATTCGAGGCGGCTAGGCTACATAATTTACTACAAACTAGACAAATACAAAGAAATTAGACGTTATATAAGTGTATATATTTTACAGTAAATAGATACTATTCTACTTAAATACAAGGACAATATTGGTGTGAAATTTTGAAACTAAAATAAAATGAAAATAAAGGACAAGAGAATTGCTTTTTCATTTTCACAAAAATCGCATCCACATCAATATAGGACCCTTCAGTTTGAAGGATATTAAGTAGCATTGCTTTTAGTGATCTATCTTTTAAAAGCTTTTTTCGGTCTTTTTTTAAGAATTTGAAGTATCCCATTCCAAATTTTGACCTCAACAAGCGAGAAAGCATTTCGTCTGACATTGAGTCGAGATTCTTTAGTATAAAAATGTTCAGAGGTTGAGGCACATGTATTGTAACTATGAACAATAGAAATTCGAGAGAAGAGTTTCAAAATATTCTTCGGAGAAGCGTTTTTATTTACATCATACACAAGACTACAAACGGATTCATAATATAGAGCCTGTAAAGTTAGAATTTTTTGCATTCACAAAAAAAGGTATATTATATATTGCGTGGTCGTTTGTTTCAGCAAAATATATTAAACGCAGTGCGCTTTTTGAAGGACAAGAATTTGGTCAAGGAAAGTTTTACACGCGTTGCGCCAAGAGATAAGACCGTAGGTTGGATAAGGTATAATTAGTGACTGATAAATATTTAGGAGGGTGCAAGTGGGGACAATATGTCTTAATCTCGCAATTAGCCCAAGTGGTTTACTTATTTTGTTTGCAACAGAGTGAATATGGGTCTTCCAAGATAGATTTTCATCGATCAACAGTCAAAGATATTTAATAAAGTTTTTGCATTCAAGGGTAACCTTTTTATGGCTTTCATTGTCAAAAACATTAACCTAGGATCATAGTTCAGTTTTTTTGGTATGGACGAAAAATTACATAGTTTGACTTTTTTTAAAATATTCAGAGAAAGCTTATTTGAAATCAGCCAGTTATACAAGTTGTGTTATTCTGCATTTATTGTTAGTTCCATTGTCTTTAAATCTTTATTAGCATAAAGAGGGTTAGTGTCGTCGCCAAAAAGGAAAAATTGGAGTTTGCTCGAGTATAAGGAGTATAAGCCATGCGATTTGCTGTTTGGTATAGATAAAATTTGAAATTAAATTTCAGATGGAGTTGCAGGATTGAAGAAAAACGAAAGTTCTGGCGAACTGGACTTTCTTAGGTACTCTGTGAAGGGGCGCTCTGCCGGTAGAATTTCTAGCAGCGACAACGCGGTTAAGCACATATTTGCTGAGAAAAACAGGTATCGGGCTTTTGTAAACATGTTTGGGGATAGAGTTTTTGTTGTGTCCCACCCCCACCCTAACGATATAATTATTAATATTATTTTATATTATTGTTTTGCTCGAAGAAAATTGTCCGTATTTTTTATCAATGATGTAAAGTACTTATACTTACTACCTGGAAAACCAGGTGCCATTTTTACCAGCCAACTTTGAGTCGATTATTGGATGATTAAATTTCGTTTACCAATTAGGAGATATTTAGGAATGTGCCATGCTTGAAGAAGACGAATAACAAGCACACTAAATGTTTTTACCTATCTTAGCCCTAGTCCGTCTATCTGAGCCCGCAGTCTATGACGAGTTTGTGTCTCCAATTTGCCTTCTTCGACCTGGGGTAAGGTTCCGTTGGGGAAAGGAGTGTTTCGTCACTGGCTGGGGTCACACTCAGTGGAATGGCACTCAACCGGACATCTTAAGAGAAGCCAAAGTACGTCTGGTTCCGACAAGTATTTGCAACCATGCCAAGTCCTATCATGGAAACATTCATTCCAGAGCTCTGTGTGCAGGATACGCGAAGGGAGGCGTTGACGCATGTCAATACGATAGTGGAGGGCCACTGGCCTGCCAGTACCAAGGGCGGTTTTATCTAACCGGCGTGGTATCTTGGGGCCACGAATGCGCAAGGCCACACAAATATGGTGTCTATGCTAGTATGTTTGAGCTCACTAAGTGGGTAGAAAAAGTGCTGGAAACAGAGAGCAATATAGAGATTTAGCTTTTTGCCCAAATATTAAAAAAATATGTAACTTCCCACACAAACATTTTAGGGCCTCGTCACGAGTTCCTTCATTAACCCTTTAAGCCCTAAGAGTGATCAGCATCAAATTTCTCCTTGTAATATCAATGCTTGGTAAAACAGAATGGTGATGAGAATTACGGACATGGTCACACTAAGATGAATTTGCTTGATATTTTATCAACTTCTACCCAACTACTTCTGTAGGAAATTAATAGGGGAAACAAAGTAGAATTCAAAGTTGGATCTTAGGGTTTAAAGGGTTAAGAACGTATTATATAGAGGGAGTGTCTCAATGGGGTTAACCGTCAGATGTCAAACGGACCAAAATTTAACCTTCAACAGTCAAAAAAGGTTATTTTTTACCGTCAACCGTCAGAAGTGCAGAGGAAGATTAACCGTCAAAACGTTTCAAGGTATTTCAAATCTCACCCTTTTAGCGCGACAAGCATTTGCTATGATTTCTAATCATTTGGCTATGCTCTCTATCTTGCTAATTGTAAGAATATAATTTACTTCGGAATCCCTTTTACCCGGGGTGCTAATAAAGATTGATTGATTGATTGATTGTTGTTGTTGTTCTAGTTGTTCACCATTTCACCTGATCTTCACGGACTTTCGGTTCCTGAAGAATCACTTCACTAAATAAGCCACGGACCATGTTATCAAAAACACTCCCTACGTACGAACATCACAAGACCTTGCATCTTTTTTGTATGTTAAATCTATCTTCAAATTTTATGTGAAAGGCCAAGGCAACCTCCAAACACAACAATTAATATTACGTTATACACAAGTTAATCAAGCTACTTTAACTATATTGGACTAAATTTTCACTAAATAACCGTAAACCGTCGAAAGCTCCGAAATTTAGCCGTCAACCGTCAAAACTGGAAAAAAAAATAATCGTCAACTGTCAAAGCCAGCACCTTATTGAGACCCCTTAGAAGGAGAGGAACTTATAAGGAGGCCTTATAATATATAAGGCCCATGTGACCCTATGTAAGCCTGGCTCTTTAAATGCTAAATTGAAAGATTTTTTTTTTTTGGTTGGTTGGTTGGTTGGTTCAACTGAGGCTTTTTTGTTTGGTTGGTTTCGTTTTGTTTTATTTTGTTTCTTAGTTCTGGTAGCTCTTTGGTGCGAGCTTTAACAAAGTATAGCTGAGAAAAAGTGTAGAAGATCGTCAATTAGTGCGAACAGAGTTTCTTATACTATGTTAAGACTGTTAAATAGACTAAAAGACCAACATGCAGAACAAACTAAAAAACAAAATGTGTAAAAATGGTTTATCCATTTTTGATAGACGTACAGTTTTCATCAGTCTTCCGAAATTCGGAATATTTTGCGGTTGACGGACCAGCTCTCTACCTTAAGCCGGAACCAAACAACCGGCGTTATAATATAACTACCAACTGTGGTTTTTGAGGCGTTCAAAACTTTATCATAACCATATTATGTAATCTCAGAGGGCTGACTCCTCTATTGTAAACGAATAAAAATCAAAAGTTTGTATCCCTTTACACTTTGGCTAAGGGTAACGTGCTGTTCCTAATATTCATACACAAGACTACAAACGGATTCATAATATAGAGCCTGTAAAGTTAGAATTTTTTGCATTCACAAAAAAAGGTATATTATATATTGCGTGGTCGTTTGTTTCAGCAAAATATATTAAACGCAGTGCGCTTTTTGAAGGACAAGAATTTGGTCAAGGAAAGTTTTACACGCGTTGCGCCAAGAGATAAGACCGTAGGTTGGATAAGGTATAATTAGTGACTGATAAATATTTAGGAGGGTGCAAGTGGGGACAATATGTCTTAATCTCGCAATTAGCCCAAGTGGTTTACTTATTTTGTTTGCAACAGAGTGAATATGGGTCTTCCAAGATAGATTTTCATCGATCAACAGTCAAAGATATTTAATAAAGTTTTTGCATTCAAGGGTAACCTTTTTTTGGCTTTCATTGTCAAAAACATTAACCTAGGATCATAGTTCAGTTTTTTTGATATGGACGAAAAATTACATAGTTTGACTTTTTTTAAAATATTCAGAGAAAGCTTATTTGAAATCAGCCAGTTATACAAGTTGTGTAATTCTGCATTTATTGTTAGTTCCATTGTCTTTAAATCTTTATGAGCATAAAGAGGGTTAGTGTCGTCACCAAAAAGGAAAAATTGGAGTTTGCTCGAGTATAAGGAGTATAAGCCATGCGATTTGCTGTTTGGTATAGATAAAATTTGAAATTAAATTTCAGATGGAGTTGCAGGATTGAAGAAAAACGAAAGTTCTGGCGAACTGGACTTTCTTAGGTACTCTGTGAAGGGGCGCTCTGCCGGTAGAATTTCTAGCAGCGACAACGCGGTTAAGCACATATTTGCTGAGAAAAACAGGTATCGGGCTTTTGTAAACATGTTTGGGGATAGAGTTTTTGTTGTGTCCCACCCCCACCCTAACGATATAATTATTAATATTATTTTATATTATTGTTTTGCTCGAAGAAAATTGTCCGTATTTTTTATCAATGATGTAAAGTACTTATACTTACTACCTGGAAAACCAGGTGCCATTTTTACCAGCCAACTTTGAGTCGATTATTGGATGATTAAATTTCGTTTACCAATTAGGAGATATTTAGGAATGTGCCATGCTTGAAGAAGACGAATAACAAGCACACTAAATGTTTTTACCTATCTTAGCCCTAGTCCGTCTATCTGAGCCCGCAGTCTATGACGAGTTTGTGTCTCCAATTTGCCTTCTTCGACCTGGGGTAAGGTTCCGTTGGGGAAAGGAGTGTTTCGTCACTGGCTGGGGTCACACTCAGTGGAATGGCACTCAACCGGACATCTTAAGAGAAGCCAAAGTACGTCTGGTTCCGACAAGTATTTGCAACCATGCCAAGTCCTATCATGGAAACATTCATTCCAGAGCTCTGTGTGCAGGATACGCGAAGGGAGGCGTTGACGCATGTCAATACGATAGTGGAGGGCCACTGGCCTGCCAGTACCAAGGGCGGTTTTATCTAACCGGCGTGGTATCTTGGGGCCACGAATGCGCAAGGCCACACAAATATGGTGTCTATGCTAGTATGTTTGAGCTCACTAAGTGGGTAGAAAAAGTGCTGGAAACAGAGAGCAATATAGAGATTTAGCTTTTTGCCCAAATATTAAAAAAATATGTAACTTCCCACACAAACATTTTAGGGCCTCGTCACGAGTTCCTTCATTAACCCTTTAAGCCCTAAGAGTGATCAGCATCAAATTTCTCCTTGTAATATCAATGCTTGGTAAAACAGAATGGTGATGAGAATTACGGACATGGTCACACTAAGATGAATTTGCTTGATATTTTATCAACTTCTACCCAACTACTTCTGTAGGAAATTAATAGGGGAAACAAAGTAGAATTCAAAGTTGGATCTTAGGGTTTAAAGGGTTAAGAACGTATTATACAGAGGGAGTGTCTCAATGGGGTTAACCGTCAGATGTCAAACGGACCAAAATTTAACCTTCAACAGTCAAAAAAGGTTATTTTTTACCGTCAACCGTCAGAAGTGCAGAGGAAGATTAACCGTCAAAACGTTTCAAGGTATTTCAAATCTCACCCTTTTAGCGCGACAAGCATTTGCTATGATTTCTAATCATGTGGCTATGCTCTCTATCTTGCTAATTGTAAGAATATAATTTACTTCGGAATCCCTTTTACCCGGGGTGCTAATAAAGATTGATTGATTGATTGATTGTTGTTGTTGTTCTAGTTGTTCACCATTTCACCTGATCTTCACGGACTTTCGGTTCCTGAAGAATCACTTCACTAAATAAGCCACGGACCATGTTATCAAAAACACTCCCTACGTACGAACATCACAAGACCTTGCATCTTTTTTGTATGTTAAATCTATCTTCAAATTTTATGTGAAAGGCCAAGGCAACCTCCAAACACAACAATTAATATTACGTTATACACAAGTTAATCAAGCTACTTTAACTATATTGGACTAAATTTTCACTAAATAACCGTAAACCGTCGAAAGCTCCGAAATTTAGCCGTCAACCGTCAAAACTGGAAAAAAAAATAATCGTCAACTGTCAAAGCCAGCACCTTATTGAGACCCCTTAGAAGGAGAGGAACTTATAAGGAGGCCTTATAATATATAAGGCCCATGTGACCCTATGTAAGCCTGGCTCTTTAAATGCTAAATTGAAAGATTTTTTTTTTTTGGTTGGTTGGTTGGTTGGTTCAACTGAGGCTTTTTTGTTTGGTTGGTTTCGTTTTGTTTTATTTTGTTTCTTAGTTCTGGTAGCTCTTTGGTGCGAGCTTTAACAAAGTATAGCTGAGAAAAAGTGTAGAAGATCGTCAATTAGTGCGAACAGAGTTTCTTATACTATGTTAAGACTGTTAAATAGACTAAAAGACCAACATGCAGAACAAACTAAAAAACAAAATGTGTAAAAATGGTTTATCCATTTTTGATAGACGTACAGTTTTCATCAGTCTTCCGAAATTCGGAATATTTTGCGGTTGACGGACCAGCTCTCTACCTTAAGCCGGAACCAAACAACCGGCGTTATAATATAACTACCAACTGTGGTTTTTGAGGCGTTCAAAACTTTATCATAACCATATTATGTAATCTCAGAGGGCTGACTCCTCTATTGTAAACGAATAAAAATCAAAAGTTTGTATCCCTTTACACTTTGGCTAAGGGTAACGTGCTGTTCCTAATATCTAAAAGGCACATTGGAGAAGATTTAAAAGAGCTTTTTAACTGGACCTAACACTTGTTCATTCTAGAGTGGTTTTCGTTTGAGTGTCGTAAAACCAAAACCAAAGTAATTACTCTGGCCAATCACATAGGACACAGACAATACATTGAACCAATCAAAACTCGAAGTAATTACATGTGGCTGACGCAAAGCGCGGGAAAATGCATGCGAGCGCGTCACAATTGACTTTGGTTTTACTTCTGATTGGATGAAAAGGTGGCGCGAATCTTTTAAGCCAATCGCATCGTGTAGAAAGTGCAAAACCAATTACTTTTCGACACTCAAATGAAAACCGCTCTAATACAGACCTAACATTTGTGTGTCTCTGCTACTGAAGACACCCTCGACAGCCAACCTTTTCTCCATTTCTTCTTTACAAAACTTGGCGACCAATTAACGTGAAAAACAGAGAGTCACCCATTTTTGATGGTAAGATCACCCTCCTAGCCGGACCAACTTTTCTCCATTTATACACTTTAGCTGGCCTAGCCGTTCAATTCAGTCAAGGCTTGACGATCAGAACATGCACGAGCGCTCTTTGCTTGGACAAAGGGGTCAAAATTTTTTCCAATTTAAATTAACACTCTATAAAGTTGACTCGGCTGAGAGAGTGACTCTCTTTCCCGAGAAAACTTAATGAAACGAAGCCTAGGCCATTGAGTTCCTTGATTAAAAAAAAAAAGAATCAACACAGTTATGAAGTTTGCACGCGAATGTAAATATGACACTATTCGTCTACAAAAAAAAAAGAAATCCACGGTACAAAGGAAGACTTTCTTATTAGTGGAATATTTCATTTATTAGTTCTTTCACCCTTTATTAATTACCCCCATCCTTATAGTATAGCATAATACGAATTTTTCAGCAAAGCTGAATACTACTAAAGATTTAACTACCAAACCCATTTTTTCGTCTCTCCCCAAACGAATTTATTTTACAATTTTTAAATTATCTTTTACTTCAAAGTCTACACAGCTGTTTTGATTAAACATTGAACCATGCAATTTACAACGTTTCGGCTTCATGTTGATACATTTACTTAGAAAAAGTATTTCAGATTATCATATTAAATTTGCACTTTATATTTCAACCGTCTTCTCTTTTTCCTCTTTTTCTTCTTCTTCTTCTTCTTCTTTTTGCATCACCAACACCGTCAACAATATCTCCATCAATATCTCACTGTTTCCCAAAAGTATTCAACAAGAAAAAAATAGGTTTATCTTATCACAATTATGTTGGATGACTTTAATTCCATCAGCCATATCTTCAGAAAATCGGGGATGTGTCTGCGACGTCATTCAAGTCCATTTTGCATTACCATAATCATAACTCGCCACCGCTGAAACTTGATGTTAACGTTACCTATTCAAGAACTTTTTGTAAAAGACAAAAGTAGAGCTTCGTGACAACACCACTTCTAAGATCGGGCCCTTGGGTTCAGTCCAAACGGCATCCGTCTTAGAGACAATTGCATTCACATTTATTCTATTTTTAATTAATATTTACCAAATCAGTGAATAAGACTTTTCGCGCGTTTTGATTGGCTCCCGTAACCCGGAATATCGTTGGCTATTCAGTGTTTTGCGACCGGAGCTAAGATGGTGTCTCGTTTCGAGACATTTTCGCAAGACGAAATTTGAGCGATAAGTGAAGCAGTCGACCAAACAAATACCAAGAAAGTGAGGAACTTTGGCTTGTCAGTGTTGACTGGAAGGTAGAAAATGATTTTCATGCTGAATTTACAACAAAATCTTAAAAATGCACTTGACAAAACCCCAGAAATGTTTGTAAATTGTAAAGAAAGTTCCTATTGACTGACGGTTTCAATTTACAAAAGTCACTTTTTTCATTTTTATCCAACTGATTTGGTAAATACTAAAACAACTATCCCCTCAGGGTTGGTGAANTTCAGAAAATCGGGGATGTGTCTGCGACGTCATTCAAGTCCATTTTGCATTACCATAATCATAACTCGCCACCGCTGAAACTTGATGTTAACGTTACCTATTCAAGAACTTTTTGTAAAAGACAAAAGTAGAGCTTCGTGACAACACCACTTCTAAGATCGGGCCCTTGGGTTCAGTCCAAACGGCATCCGTCTTAGAGACAATTGCATTCACATTTATTCTATTTTTAATTAATATTTACCAAATCAGTGAATAAGACTTTTCGCGCGTTTTGATTGGCTCCCGTAACCCGGAATATCGTTGGCTATTCAGTGTTTTGCGACCGGAGCTAAGATGGTGTCTCGTTTCGAGACATTTTCGCAAGACGAAATTTGAGCGATAAGTGAAGCAGTCGACCAAACAAATACCAAGAAAGTGAGGAACTTTGGCTTGTCAGTGTTGACTGGAAGGTAGAAAATGATTTTCATGCTGAATTTACAACAAAATCTTAAAAATGCACTTGACAAAACCCCAGAAATGTTTGTAAATTGTAAAGAAAGTTCCTATTGACTGACGGTTTCAATTTACAAAAGTCACTTTTTTCATTTTTATCCAACTGATTTGGTAAATACTAAAACAACTATCCCCTCAGGGTTGGTGAACAGCCATAGATATATCCCTCAACCCTCCGTGTCTAGCTGTAGTTCCACCACTATTCACCTCCCCTTGAGGGGATGGTTGTATACTTTTCCGTATATTTTATTTCTATTCCACTTATTTCATTTTAGTTTAGTTACTCATAGATTTGCCTAAATAGTAAAACATATTCATCAACAGCTGCTGGCTGCTCGGGAATTTTTTTTTCTATCAGAGGCCTAAATACTGATTTTTACCTAAAAGCGTTCTATCAATCCAGTTTGTATAATGGAGACATGATCTAGTGGATTTCCATCATCTGAACTGTAGTAACATGCAACGGAGATGTCCCGACCGAATTAACTCGACAAAGTGCACGTAGGTTCGCCAAAGCTTGTCGATAATTTGTGCTAAACAAGAAAAGAATTAGAGGATTAATAACGGTGATAAGAGATGGAAAAACGTAGAATAACAAAAGTACAATTATGTGACATGTGTCTTCCAGGAATAGGTCTGGTTGAAAAATTTTAAGAACAAAGTAAATGCAAAGAGGAGTCCAACAGAAGAAGAAAGCGAAGACAATCGAGATGAGGATTTTAATGACTTGTTGATTCTGAGTTAGAGTGATGTTTTGTGAGTCTCGCAGACCGTTTCCACTCATCAATCGTGCTCGGAGCGCTCTTAAAATGCGGTAGTAAAAGACTATTATGGTTATAAGAGGAGTAAAGTAAAGTAGCACTATACCAATCGAATGGTAAATCTTATAGGCTGATTGATTCCAGATCAATCGGCAGAAACTGTCACCGTTACTCTCCACAACTTTGGCGTAAAGGATCCCAGGACAGCATAAAGCGCCTGATATGATCCAAATAAAAAGAAGAATGGCAAAACGAACTCTTTCTTTATGCATTGATGTTGTCCTCAAAGGAAACACGATGGCGAAATATCTGTCAACAGCGATTGCTACCAAGCTAAGCACGGACACGATTTGTGAAGTAACTCTAACATAGATCCCAATTTTGCACAAAACGGAAGCCAAAGGATCAGATATCCACATTCTACCAGTAATAGCTCCTTCTGTTGCATATACCAACCAACTGAAATACGAACATAGAACGTCTGAGGCCGCCATATTGACTATGTAATAGTTGCTGCTTGTTCTGAGGTTGGCGGTTTTGAAGAAAGTTATAACAACAAGAAAGTTTCCAACTAAAGCGATGAAGCTGATAGCGGATAAAACCGCTATAAAAACTGTCGAGGTGGCTTCGGAGCAGTGGTTGTGTGTGGAATCTTTCATGGCTTTCTTTGGCTTATCCGGTCAAGCATTAGCCAAATTTATTTCCTCCAAAGTACATCAACATCAGAAATCTTAGCTAAAACGTCGCCTCAAAACACTTTATTTTTGAAGGGCTGACCTGTAGTCTCTAGAAAATTTGGCGATTGCAAACACCTTATCTCAGTAAAGTATGACCAAGCTAATTTTTTGTCGTCGAACCGTTCCAGTGAGGCGAACCGATCGAATCTCTCCTTCCGACTCTTTCTAGTCAAACCACTGCTAGAAAGAAATCAGTTGAAATGTCATGAAGCCTATTAGCTATTTTGTGGTTCATGTCAATTTGTTCTCTTTATACCATTTCATATTTTAAACAGCTGTTCATTCCTCCGGGGGAAAAGTCATCACACCAGTTGTGTATGATGATTAATAATGAAGGAGAGTGTTGACAAAAGTAAAAGCCTCTCTTCCAACTGTAAAAAAACCTAATGCGATGTGATACAAATGACAAACGTGATTCCGGTTTTTAATTCATTTGGTTATTAATTTTAAGTCGAGCAAATGAATATATTTTAGTTGATTAAATAAACTACAGTGTTTTACAAGAATTGTTGCCACTGAGAAAAGTCTTATTTTAAGGTGACTTGACCCAGTCTTTTTTTGGGGGGGGGCGGGGGTGGGGGGGTACCATCCTACTTTGAAGCTCTCTGGTATCCCCACCTTTACTTTTATCGTAAGTCTAACATATAGCATGGATAACATATAGATCAATCTACAATATAGCAAAAAATTTTTGGCGATCGGAGTAAATATCACGTGGTTATAGTGCCACGCCTCTTTGGGGTCTGAATAGAAATTCTGCTGTTGCCGGCATTTTTTCGTGAAAATCTCTCGGCTACATATAGTGCGTATTAGTGCCTTGCGTTCAACAGAGTTTCACCAAAATCGTAAAGACCCAATTCAAGAAATTCAGCGGTTTCCAAATTTAGGTCATAATTTATGCGAAAATGATAAGCAAACTTTACACGATTATATCTAATAAACTATGAGATTTATCCCTTTATTTTGGGGATCTTTATAACAGATGGGTCCTTGCAAGTCAGCAAAAAGCTTTAGGGCCTTGTAAATGCGCTCGATTTTGAGCAATGCAAACATATACAAATTATAGTTTTAGCTATTTGTTGACGTTCTTTGTCAGCGTTTAAGAGTCCTTCTCACGAAAAAATTAAGAATTTGTTCATGCTTAGCGTGCGTATATCGAGTTATGGATGCACGCGGGAAGTTTGGAGAGCACGAAAGATAAGTAAGAGTTGCACGAGGCGATAGCCGAGTGCAACTCTAGCTTCTTGAGTGCTCTCCAAACTTCCCAAGTGCATCCATAACTCGATATACGCACAGCTAAAAGCATGAGCAAATTCTTTTATAACATAACTGACGAAAATGCTTGCTTCTTGATTAACTGCAAAATTCTCGTAACGCGCGACACAATAACAAACGGTTCTATTGGCTGATTACGAACACGCCACAATCGTCTAGTTTGAATGAAAATATTCTTTCTGTAACAGTGAGAAAGAAAATTTGCTTCTTTATTCGTTAACGATCAATGAAAACTAAGCAGAAATAAAGGTAAAAGAGTCTTAAAGTTCACCTAAAGTTGAAATGCTTCTTGACATGTTCGTGAGAAGTCGTGGAGTATGGTTTGGATTTGCTAAAAAGATCTTCGGCGAAATCCAGAAAACATGTTTTTAGCGAAGACGACTGTCATCCTTGTTTAAACTTATATTCATTTACGAACATTGGCTAGTCATTACGGCTTCTTGAGAAGACCTGGCAGCAGTTGTTTTTGTGAGTAATAAATTTATGTTTTCTTGTGTAATTTGTGTTGTTATTGCGAGAGAAATTTTCCTGCTTCAGTCGGATTGTCCGGAGATAACAAAGTGCATAACAAATTTAAAAACAACAATAAAAACGGAAATTTTGCCTTTAAATGTTGTTGATGACCAGTTGGTGTCTGTTCTGTTCCCAGTGAATGTCTTTCGGCCAAAATTTGCTGCAGCTGGTCTTCGACAAATTTGCAAAACGCGCAACTTGCGAGTTTTTTTTTAAATTCGGCTTTATTTTTGCTGCTT